GCAACTGGAGAAGGTCCTGGGGCTCCTGGTGGTGGGATCGACCTGTGTGGAGCTGGCAGAGGCAAAAGAGCTGGATGATGACGACACGGGAGGAGAGTATTTGTGATCACGGCGGTGGTGGTCCTGCTGAAGCTGATCAAGGAGATTGGTATGGCGGCGTTGAGGCACTGCTTGCGAAAAGAGGAGGAGCTTGGGTTCCAGAGGCTCTGCGAGGAGGCGGTGCTACCGGAAAGGCCCACCGAAAATGCGGCTGGAGTGAACCTTTTCGCGATGAACCAGGTGGTGGTGCCGGCGGGGAGCTACACGCTGGTGCGGACGGGTCTGAAGGTCCAGATGCCAAAGGGGACGTGCGGGAGGATCACTGCAGTGGCCAGTTTGGCTGTGAGAGGAGTGGAAGCCGGGGGAACAGTGATTGAGCGGGACTTCGGCGGCGAAGTGAGGATCTTGGTCAGGAACTATGGGCACGCAGACTACATTGTCAAGCCGGGAGAGGCCGTGGCGCAGATGGTGTTGGAGAAAGTGTCCGTGGCCAGGATCAAGGAGGTGAAGAGTATCGACGGGCCCAAGAAGAAGCCGAAGGACGAGGTGGAGCCGTCGGTGAGATCGCTCATGGTTGAGAAGGCCGCGGCTTCAGTGGGGACTTCGCCCGTTGAGTGGTGGAAGCCGGAGGTGAAGGGCTTTGGGAAGGTCGGTGAGAGATCGTGGCTGGGGAAGACTACTCCCGGGGGTGGAGGTGGTGATGGCCCGCCGGAGCCGACCGAAAGGGCGTCGCAGGATGAGCCTGGGGAGGATGAGTGGCAGGTCGAGTTCTTGGAGAACGAGGTCAGGCTGTCGCGCATTCATATGGTGGCGCGGTACTGGGACTATATTCCAGGACGGCGAGATCTACCCCCGAGCATACGGTTCGAGGAGTTGGACCAGGTGCGGGTTTCCGAGATTGCGCCGGACGAGGAGAATGGTATGGCGTGGGAGAGGCTGGTTGAGAACTGGCACGAGGAGCACTGGGAGAGGCGAACGCCATGGAGGGGATCGTCGAACTTCAGAGTGTTGAGGAGGGCCGGGCCTGAGACGAGCGGATCGAGTTCGGCGGGTTCAGGAGGTGGAGGACCTCCTGGAGGCGGTGGAAATGGTGGTTCTGGCTCGGGGCCTTCGGGATCTTCAGGAGGGACACCGTCGGCTTCGGGACCGGGAACGGGGAGTACGGCACGATTCGGGACATCGGGAACTACCGGAGGTGAGGGTGAGGACGCAGATGAGGTGGCGGCCAAGCGGCCTCGGGTGTGCGGTGAGGAGGTGATCCAGAGGCGTCTTGTTGGCGCACCTGGGCAGAACATGCTGGACATCATGCGGATGGCCTTTCTCCAGGATGTGGAGGCGAGTGTGGTGCTGATGACCGAGATCTTGGCATCGCGTCCGCAGGGGGTGCGAGATGAGTGGATGGACGTGCCCCTGCCGGTCGGCATCGTGTTCGGCGTGCAGGTGCACAGAAAGGAGAGGAGGAAGCTCTTCGATACGGAGCGTCAGGGCTTCAACGAGGTGAAGAGGACCGTGGCATGGTCCGTGGTGGGAAGTGGAAAATGGGTCGACCGATCCATTAGACGCGGGCGCAGGGAGAAGTATGAGTTCACGCCGTGGGTCGGATACACGATCTTCGTGCGGGAGAAGGGGGCTTGAGCGCGGGCAGTTCTTTTGGCGGGCGAACCCTGAAAAGAGGGGGAGCCCTGAAATCCGCTTTGAGGATGAGATGTTTCTGGGGAACAATCCCTGGTCTTGGAAGTTGCTGAACGATCGATCGGGGACAGCCCCTTTTTAGCTCAAGAGGAAAAGCAAACGCCCGCTTAGGAGTCAGTGAGAATGACCTTCCCAAAAAGTGACAAAAGTCCGCAATGGATCTCAGGAAGTGTGGAACCCCAAAAACCATGACTATAGAGGAAAGAAGCCTTCTGGGTTCGTTGCTTCGTGGGGGCCCCGGTATTTCTTGCCTTCGTGTCGGTACAGTTTGCGAAGCTCTGCATCGCCTTGCGAGGTGCCTCGAGCTCCGCGAAGGTTATGGGGGAACTGGCAAGGTACTGGTTGGGGAACCCCTTCCTGAAATGGGATAGTCCCGACCTTGAAGCCAATCTACACCAAGTAGGGGCAAGCCAAACTGTTTGGGCTCTCAAAAATGTTTCCCTAAAAACACGTGTGGCTTCCATTTGGATCCCCTAAACCAACCAACCATGGTTTCCCTTAAGAGAGAGACCTGATCCTTCGATATCCTTCGATATCCTTGGCTGAGGCCCTGAGGGACACATCTGCGGAGAGGGCACCACGCCACGAGCTGAGGTAGGCTTCTCACCTCAAGGGGTAGCGGACCCCGAATTTTGTGGTGAACAACTGCGGCACCAACAAAAAGGCAGGACATTTGCGGTCGAGTGAGTAAAATGTGTGAATAAAATGGAGAAAAATGGGTAAGATGTGTGAGCAAAATGTGGGACTTTAGTATTGTGGCGTCCTTTTTCACCCCCCCGCAACCGCTTCTTCCTGTCCAAAATCCCAACTGTCAAAGCCTTGGAGTTGACCTATGAAGGCCGCTGAACAACCTCGAAGTCTTGGCTTTCCCAGACTCACCTTGGAGCCCCCTCCACAGTCCCTGGGTGGTTCTACGTAACCCATCTTGACTTAAAATGATTACAGTAAGATACAGGAAGTGATTATAAAAATGTGTAACAAGTATACTAACTGGTTCAAAACCTAACCCCCAATGATTAGCGGATCGCGGGATGATGCGGCTTGAGGATTAGATCATGCGGCTTGTGGATAGAAGATTCTGGATTGTGTGAACTTTCACTTCTCCAGCACGAGGTGTTGACCCACCATTTGAAGCGCGGATCACGGACTAAGAAGAGTACTACGGGATTTCGAACTCATGTATTAACGGCACTGTGGCCTACCGCGTGGGGTCGTTGGTCTGACTCTGGTGACCATAATCCATGGGAGTTTTGACCACATGGAACCCTACTTTGGGTATTGCCTTCCGATGGGGTGCATCAACTTCAGATGCGCTTGCATCAACCTCAGTCGGGTTTCTCTGATTTTGGTTGTCTTGATAGGTTTGCAACCAGGCATGTGAAATCATGTCCACTCACGCCCAGTCCTTGTGACCGAATCCCCCCGGGGGGGGGGGGCCAATCAGGGGCCCGTTGTCGGAGCTCCGAACCCAAACAAAAGGTCAGTTTGTTGCAAGGTAGGCCCCGATCGATCAAGAGCGCGGGATGGGTAGGAAAACTTAAAGGAAGCCGAAGGTCGTTTCGCCACAATGGCGACAACCTTTTGAGGGTAGTATTCTTCGAACACCCTCTTGTGCACTTCCAATATTCTTGGAAAGAGGGTACCTGGACCCTTAAACTACCTCAAACAAAGAAAAACGTGAGCTCACCCCATAACTTTGAGGCAAGAACGTATTCTTGTTGGTATTTTGAGGGTTTAGGCTGGCACCACTTCTAAGTCCGTCTCTGCTGTAAGATCGGGACCCCCACAATGGCCCAACGCTTTCCCTTTAGTTTTCCGGAAAACAATCACAGAGAAGGGGTCTCAAAAAGGAACACTCGTTTGGCTGCGTAACCAGCCGGACCATTTGAGTGGATGCGTGCATCTTCCGCCCGAAACATCCGGGGTGCAACCGACTCAATGGAATCAACACGCCCCAACCTGGCTTAGAGATTTCAGGATGCTAATGACAACGAGTCCCAACCTGGTCAAACTTCAGGTTTCCCTGTATTGCCCCTTTTGGTTTTTGAGCATCACCTTCTTGGCTGATGTTTGGAGACTGTCCTCTTCATGTCAGGTTTAAAGGGGAAGTAGAGCTTCACTGTTGGCAAGTTGTCTGTTCGTGTCTGTTCATTCTTAGTAGGAGGCTGCCAAAAGATATGCTGCCATACCAAGGAATGTAAAGAGAAGATATATCATAGGTGTAACGTGAATATATATATATATATATGTATAATTATATATATATATGTATATATGTATATATGTATATATGTATATATATATATATATAAAGAAAAACATCTTGGACTTAGGCCAGAGCAGCAGACCGCGGTGCGCTGCTTTGATGGTTTCTTCTGCCGAAGCTCCACCACGTGGGGCGCCCTTTGGGAGGGCGGCTTCTTTTTCTTCCCCGAGTTTTGTGTGTTTCCTTGGTTTTTGCCTGTGGTTCCTTGGTTTTTGCCTGTGGTTTCTTGGTTGTTCCTGTGGTTTTCCCATAAAACAAGCAACCGCAAAGGAAGCCCCCACGTGCATTTCGCGAAGTGGTTTTGAAGTGTTGGACCCAAACATGCGTCGACCTGGACCCTCAAGCTACAATTAAAAAGGGGAAACCACCCCATAATATGTTTTGGGCAATATCCAATATGTATGGGCAGTTCGAGGGTCTAGGTCAATATATTGTGCATTCGAAAGTTCACGTCTCGGGATGACTGGCTTTTGGCATTCCTTGAGGAATCCCCAAGGAAAGTTTCATTGGAATGCACCTCCATAGAGGGTGGAACATGTTCACGGTGGCGACCCCGAACACAAAAACGCAGGGCAGACAACAAACAAACTGGTTTTGATAGTGTGTGTGTGAGGGGAACTCGTTTTGAGGAGGTTTAGGAGCTCGGACCTAGAATCATCCCCTTTGTGTAATATATATATATATATATATATATGCACGTAAATATGCACCCGTTCATGCAAAAGCGAAGCTGCAAGCAACAAAACGCATGCGAGTACCTTTTTGTGGGTGAGCCTTTTTTGGGGTACCTCCAAATCGTGGCTTTCCGTCGCCATTTTGGTACGCACATTTCTCGGACCCGCATTCTCCGCGCATGTTTCGGGCTCTGAGGGCCTCGGGCACGGGAGGCTTTCAGAAGATCCCAGCAAGTTCTGCAAAGTCACCGACGTCAGCCATCGATCGATTGGAAGGGCCAAGCTGCAAACCACGGCCGTTTAGATACGTTTTTTAGACCAGCCTACCGATGGCGGATGATGGAGAGAGGACCGAGCTTGAATTTGGATCCTGTATGTGTGGCATTGGCTAGCTGTGATGTTGCACGCAAGTTCTAGTGAGTACGAAGTTGCAAGAAAGGTGTATATATACATGACATATATACATAGTCTGCTTTGCGGGCCACAGTTGACTGGCAGATGCCCGGATTGTAGGAACGTTCTCGGCAAGAACGACGTTTACGCAGATACTTGCATATCTTGGTAGCCTGTGGTAGACATCCGGGTCCTTGATACGAAGCGACTTAGGAGGAGGGGTTGCGCCTTTCAAGCGTGTTACTCTTTTGTTTGTTTGGGTTGCTCATGGTGGCTCAAAATGCGTGTCCTGTCAACTAGGCTTGACAAGCGCAGGTGAGCCACAATCAAAACCTGGGTAAGTGAAGGTGGCCGCCTTCTTGGTTCTTTACGTGGTTCTGGGTCGACTTTTTTTTTGTACTGGGTTTTGATTGTGACTCAGCTGGGCATCGAAAGTCAACCATGTCTCGGGCCAATCACAGCACGAGGCGGAGGAGTCTCTCTCTCTTGGAGGGCTGAAAGACTTCCGCGTATCAGTGGTTCGTGTTTTCAGTCCCTTTGAACCAGACATGGCCAAAGAAAGCGCGGATCCCCTCAAAAGACGACACCCGAATATTTGTTCAACACCGCCTTTATGACAAATGCACCAGTACTGGGGTGTTTTTTCTAGGGACAACACCCCCCTACTCTCTTCAACTCGCAGTAGTAAATTGTTTTTTTGAAGTTGGTGCCCCACCCCCCACCGAAAAGAAAAAGTAAAAATCACAAGACACCCATTAGTAGGGACTGGCTAGGATTAGATCGGATTAGCTTCCTGTTCTCTAACATGGAACCTGCCTGAGAATTCCTGGACATCGATTTTCTGTCAGGGACCCTTTCTCCGGTGGGTTCCGTGGCCACGTGGACTGGAGGGTGTGGATGCAATCGATTTGAGTTCGTGCCATGGCTCAGAATTTGTTGTCGGCCCCTGTCCGAAAGAGAGGAAGCCTTGCATTTGAAACTGTGCGTGGTTCAAAGCCGAGCTGTTTTTGCCTGTACGTGATTCCATGTTTGATCCAGTCAGTCTCAGAGAAGGGACACAGCAAAGCTGATGTCCCACTGACTAACATGGAAGTCCAGTAGAGGGGCCTCCCACCAAGTAACATGGAAGTGCACAAACTTGTCAAGACGAAAAGCGTCTTTTTACCGGGGTTTATGCACTTTGATTTTAGTTGGTGGCAGGGTATTCATAATAATTGGTGGTTGCAACTGCAACCCAAAATGATGGTTGGTGATTTCCCTTGAAGGGTAGTTTGAGGCAGGAACATCCTCCAGGTCCTTCTACTGGTTGCAGCTCTGAGTTCGCGAGGATCATCGAGGTGTTCAAGAAGTTCGACACCAACAGCGATGGAGTCATCTCCAAGGAGGACTGTGGCAGAGGGAGGTGGGATGAGGTGGCTTGTTTTTAGAGGGTTTTCAAGATGGGCCTGAAACAGGGAAGCCAGTTAGGAAACCACCTCTCTTTTTTGAGAGCCCAACTATGGTCACACATGTGGCGGTGCGAGTCATATAGATCAGGCATAGATCAGGTCTAGCGGATGTGTTCTGGATATTCAGTGATAAATAATTCATACATGTACCTGAAATACATCCATATCTCATCATGAGGTGGAGGAAGGTCATATATGAAGTCACTCAGGCCACTGCAAGACCGTGTTTTTTTGCCCAGATGGCACATGGGCAATTGAGGGGCCTCCATGTCTGTTTTCTGGGATTGTCACAAGCCTCTCTACCTTGGCAACGGAAGAGAAACACCGCACAAACAACAGCGGCCCATAGCAACAGGCAGGGAGGTTAGAGCCCAGTCGTAATGCATAAGTGGTTGTCATGTTCTGGCCGTTCAGGACCGATCGTTGTTTACACGGAGGAATCATTCGCTACCTGGTTTGGGGCCTCAAATTGCCAATTGGAACCTGAATTTTCAGAGGGATTCCTCATCCAGAGTGGTTGATGGAGGTAAATGCCCAAACGATGTCCACAGGGTTCCTTGTCAACACTTGGTATGGTAGCAAAAAACACTTTTACCTGCCCCCGATTAAACATGAACAAGAGAGCAACACTTGCCATCAACAGTTAAGGTTGGCAAATAAAACTCACACCCCATTGCAACCAGTGACCTTGGTAGAAAAATGACACTCTTTTCCGGGTTGATTCCAGTACTGCGATGGTCAACAAGCATCACAAGAGGAAGCTCGTCTAAAGTGGCCCTCGAAAGGCAAACAGAAGCTGGCATGGTTGGGTCAAGGCAAAGGGGACCATCTACTTTCATCCAACTGTATAGGGGTGTAGCAGCAGGAATTACCACGTTCTACCATCACTCAGTGCTTGGTTCAACCCCTTACCCCTCCACTCCACACATTCGCAAGCGAGATCGAGGCCTTCCCGAAGAGTGACCCCGCACCCCAGGTTCAACCTCTGACCAGGTTCCACCATCACTTGCAACCTTAGGGTCAAAACGCTGCGAGGAGCTCACCACGCTGCTGACCGCCTTGGGCCCGGACATGTTCACCGGCGCCCCTTGGCGAAGACGTTGATAGGTGGCTAGGTGCCAAGAAATGAAGTTATGCCAAACCGGGTGGTGGGTAGTTGTTCACGTAGAGAATCAGGGAAACCTACTAGCAGGGATACAGGTAACCAGGGATCCGGGAGGATTCCCCCAAGTGCACCTTGACTAAGTTTGATATGGGAAATTGCGCCAAGGGAATCCCCCCATATCCCCGCTCCCTCCGTATCCCCGCTTGTCCAAGAGAACTAAGTAGGTGAAACCACCTGGAGATCAGTTGAAACAAGTGAGCAAACAAACCAAGACATCAGACCAAACAGAGACAGACGGAGACAGAAAACAAGCAAACAAGCAACCAATCAACAAGCAACCATCCAGGGGCGAAATCCGATTCAACCAAACGAGAGCAACCGGGTTATTCAGACAGACAAACAAACACGCAGAGAAACACACAAACATGCAAGCAAACGATACACAAACATGCAAAGACACACACACACACACACACAAACAAACAACACACACACGCACGCACGCACGCACACCCACGCACACGCAAACGCCCACGCCCACGCCCACGCCCACACGCACGCGCACGCGGACGCACACGCACAAGAGCACGCATGCAGGCTGACCAAATCCAACCCAACCCAACCCAACCCAACCCAACCCACCCTAAGCAAGAAAGAACCAAGCAAGGAAATCAGCAAGAGACCTAGCAGGCAAGCAGGCCAGGCAAGAAGGCAGCCAAGTGGGGCAGGCAAACAAGCCAGCCAACGCACAGACTCGTGTTGATTCACCTCTTCTAATCGGCATGCCCAGCTTGAAAATGGAATTGGAGGGGGGTTCTATCCCTGATCTCAATTATTTGCTTTCTTTTTTGTTTGTTTGTGGGGAATGCTAGATCACTGGAATTGGGTCCAGTGCTCCCCTCTATCCTCTATCGGCAGGGGGGATGAATCGGCCTGTTTGCTGGAAGAGTCAAAGTTTAGGTGAGCCCTGCCCTGGGAGGTAGCTTCAATTGGGGCACAATAGGCTGCACTTCCGGGCTGGAACCAAGGACCCCGTACGGCTTGGATGTTTTTGGACACAACCCCTTGATGGTTGTCTTCAAGAAGGAAAAGAGTTGTTTGTGACTAAAAGTGGTAGCGGTTTTTCAAACGAGGTTCAATGAAGCAGAGGAAGCAACAGGAGGCTTTACTTGAAAAAGACGCAAAAGGAACCGAGGGACCAAAAGACGCAAGAAGGAACCCGCATAATAAGTTAAATTTCTGGGTAAGTGGGTCCCTTTCAAAGTATTCGGGTGAAGCCTAGATGCCTCGAAACTAGCTTCAAATACCTCGAATTTAACTTAAACCTAGAGTCTCCATGACCCTTAAAAAATGGGTCCACCCCTGAGATTTGGGGTAATGACCAACCTTTTGTAAGGGTCAGAAGGAGACTCCAGGAAGGGGCATGTGTTGTTGTCTTCCGTTGGTTGGTTTTTTTCTGGCCGCTTTCCGAGGAGTCCTTAGAGACGCTGCTGGCTGCCATGGACTCCAACAACGACGGCAAGGCTACGCGGGATTGGCGGAGCTCGCGCGGGTGTCGGATGACTCGTTGATTCGGGAGCCATTCCGTTCAGCCGTGGTTCTTTTCAAAGACCGGCTGTCTTCTCCGAGGTTTTTGATCGTTTTTGGACGGTTTCCTGAAAAGAAGGACTGGAAAGAATGGGGAAGGTACCCCTAGAATGACATCAAGTGAACCCAGACACCACACCAAATCCTCGAAACTTGGCCCCCAGAAACCCCGAGAGCCCTGTGGGTTGCTTCCTTTCTATCATAGGCTGGGCTATTCAACGGTAGTCCTTAATCCTTACCTTGGCATCCAGGCGAATCGACTTTTCCATGCCGGAAATGTATATGGTTGTGATGATTATGTCTCCTTCTTGTTCTCCTTCTTCTTATTCTTCACACCGGACACCTGAGACACCGACGAGCGCAGCGATGGCTCTCTTTCGAGGTGCAGTACGCCGAGTTCGTTCACTGGCTCACGACAGAGGAGGCGGAGGCACACGAGCCGTGTTGACTCTGGGGCAGCGGGAGGCGGCTCACAGCTCTGAATCCCTTTCTGGTTTCCGGCCTTCCTAGGAAAATATGGTCAAACCCAAAATAGGTTCCATTTGTTTTACACCAGGGCCCGCAAGGAAGGCGGCTGGTGTGCCTTTGGCTGCCTGGAGTCTCCTTCTGACCCTTTGAACGTGGGGGTGATTGCCCGGAATAAAGTGATAGCCTCATTTGTGGAGGGCCCTTCTGGAGACTGGATTGACATGCGCTGGCTCGGTTCCGCACGCAGCGCCCCTTGTTTCACCTTATGCACTCACCACATCCCATATTCTTTGAGTCGACCGCTCGACACGCAGCCCTGGGCAGAAGGGAGGGTCAGGCAAGCTTCCTGACAGTTGAAGAGCCCCATTTGGAAATTCGCCGTGAGACCATCGAGGAGTGCATGCGTAGTTGTGGAAAGCTTTGAGATACCTGCTCAACAGGCATGAAAGTCTACGGAGCCCCTTTTGGAAGGCGACTTTCCTTTCGGCAATCGGCTTTGTGCGCGTCCATGTTTGGTAGAGCAGTTGTCCATTGTGTATAATGTACTCCAAGGCAAACCAACATCAAATGGATGTGAATTTTGAGGGTATCCATTTTGTTTTGGACAAGAAGGCAAACCAAAAGGCCAACTACGCAAAGAGAAGAACTCCGACATGGGTATGGCTCAAAACACCGGTACCAACATGGAACCCTGGTAAGTGGAAGCATGGACCAAAACCTGCGGTTTGCCCCAGCTCTTGAATTTTGAGCCACAGCCACATGGGAATGGTGTTTGATCTTTCCAGGCAGATCAAAGCGCACGCGCCGGAACTCGGAACTCCGCAGGTGAGCCAAGTTTGGGAGGCCGGGCGTGGCGGTTGGGGACCTTTGGGCTTTGGGGGCGTGCAGTCGGTTGACAATGAGGTTAGACAAAAGGGGTCGCCTCCAAGACGAACGAAATCTGAGGCTGCCTGAGCGTTCAAACATGTTCAAACTACTCAGAATTGTAGGGCAATAACTCCTTTTTGTGGGTAGTTTGATGGGCCGCAGTATATACAGGCCACCATTTGAAGCAAATACCTAAAGGGCAATCAGCATGGGATGGGCATTGATGGGACCCTCTGCTTCAGCGGTGAATCAGCCATCAGCCAGCATGGCCCAGAATAGAAAGGGAAAACAGGACGTTCCTTTGGATGGGCTTGGCATTTGCTCCTGGCTTTGCTTGCCCAACTTTGGGAGGCTGCCCTTTTCACCTTGGTTTAGAGGGACAACAGGACAGCCTAAGCCGGTTTGGGAGCAATCTTTTTGGATGGACGAATTCCTGCACCACTTTGAAACCATGGGAAATCATTGTTTGTTGGTATTTACAGGGAAATCGAATCCTTTCTGGATTTCTTAGGTGGTGCACAAATTTAGTCCATCATCCACAGTATGGCCATTTGAATAGTGAAGCACGAAAGTGGTGGAAGCAAATTTCCGCCACATCTATTCAGCTTTTTTCACGCATTGCCATCATGTGGTGTCTCAAATCGATGTTGGCTATCCTTTTGGTAGCTAAACGGAATTTAACGAAGCCAAAAGGGAACTATCAACGGTTTTAGGGCACCGAGTCCTGTTTTGCGCAAATTTTCACATCACCAAGGCCTGTCTAAAACTTCCGGAGTTCCTGGACTTTAATCACTTCCTGGGTTTGGACCATGGGCTGTTCAAAGGGAATCCATAGTCCTTGCCTTGGGTGAAGTGTGGGGTCTCCGTAGTGGCGTCCAACAGGGATTCTGGAAAATCGGATTGGCCAACAATCCATATTGAACGGCCCGGTGGCAAATCTTTTCGGTTTGGTTACCTAGATGTTTTTTTGTTTGGAGGGGGTTACGTCCACCTGGACCGATTCTCAAACTGGCCTTAGAAGAGGCAGATCACCAACCATAATTTTGGGTTGCAATCGGCCCATTTTATAGGCAGTTTGAGGGTTCAGGAAGACCAATTTGGACATCACCCCGTTTGTTTTTTGTTTGTTGTTGTTTGGGGGGGTAGTTTGAGGGTTACGTCCACTTCCTCTCGGAGGTTGTCGTCCCCTGTCCAAGCGGCGCGAGGTGGCGATGCCGGGCAAGGACCTGCCGAAGGGTCCGCTGGCGCGGCTGGACGCCATCATTGGCATGCCGCTGGGAATTTGAAATCAGCTGGGCTTGGGCAGGGCTCCTTAAAAGATACATTTCAACCATTTGAAGCATGGCTTTTTCCACCAAAATAGAGGGAAACCACCATTTACAAGGAACTGTTCAGGTGTATAATGTAAGGATCCCTGTTGGGCGATTCAACATGACTCAACCCTCTGAATTTGGAGCTAATGCTTGAAATCATCTCGGGTTGGGCGAGTCAGCATGATTCAACCCTCAAACAAATTGGAAGTACATACCCCTTGTTCATATTTTTTGGCTTCCCTGGTTGATATACCCCTTTTGGGGATTGGGGAGAGGGGTATGACGATCAGCAGGCCTTTTGGCTTCATTTGCCCAACGGGTCTGTAAAGGGGTATGTAAAGGGGTAGTTATTGCATGCCCACCCCTTTGCTGTAAACAAACATCTTCAAACCACAAACATCTCGTGGTTTCCCTTAGGCGGTTATGGTCCCCTTGTGCAAACCAAGTCTACAGGAGTTGGTGCCAATTCAATTCGCGGATTCGATCTGCGTGATCGCAGAATCGCCACCTTGGGACCGCCGAATGCCGTTGCGTCAATGAATCGGGCTGTGGATTTTGGATCGGCCAAAATTGGAGTGGTTTGAAAGGGAACCGGGGAAGGCGCGATTCGTTTGTGGGTCCATTCCAAGACACGCCCAAATGAGGCTCAAGTAATGTATCAGTGGCCATGTAGGGCTTATACAGGCCACTTTCGAGCAGGTCGCGGTGGGTGGGCACCTCTGTTTGGTCGTAGGGTGAGAAGCCTCCTAAATTGGGTTTACACGGGGTGTATGCTGTAACATGATGTAGCACTATTTATCACCAAAGCAGTCGGGTCGCCCAACTTGTTGAAACAACCAGACCCAGTTCCCCGCTTTTTGCAACAAGTTTGCTCAGTGTGGCTGCCCATGCCTGTTGAGGGCAACCAGTTTTCCCATGTGCTGCTTCTTCAGAGCTGGTTGTCCCCCAGAGCGTGAACATCATCCAGGCGACTTTTTCCTGACATGCCTCAAATGAGCGGGACACCCTTTGGATGGTTTCCAGACACCAAAAAGAAGTCACTTGGAGGGTCCAACGCATGTTGAGGCCGGATCCCGGTCAGTGCCAAAGCATCGCACGGCACAGAAGTAGCTGACAATGATCATCTTGTTTGGGGCTGCGGTTCGGTTGCGTGAAGATGCCGTGAACCGCATTCCATGAAGGAACCTGCACAGGACTCGGGTATATGTTCAAGTTGCTTCGCCTGTTGCCTCCCGCAAGTTGTGCGTGTCCATAGATCCTAGTTCACTCGGAGTGCTTTTCGAGCATGTGAACTACCCGCAAGCCTCTAAGTCACTAAGCCCACGCAAAACTAGGCTTACTCTTTGGCACCGGCCATAATATATAGGGCTCATATACGCCATGTTCATCTGGGTCGCGGTTGTGCTGGGCCGCCTCTGGTTGGTAGAGATTATAAGCCTCCCAAAGTGGGTTAGTGGGTTTACTGTGGTCAAAGCATTCGGGGGCCACGTGGAAGCCATCTTAGAGCTTCCACGTGGCTTTGTTCTTGGGGGTACCCTGCAGTTCTTAGGTCCGGTTTAAACGGGAGCAGGAAGGGAAGCCGCCATTTCGGCACCCGACGGGCTCGGGTGCCGAAGATTTCTACGAGGTCGCCACACCTCTCGGGGAACCTCACCTATATGGAAGCCAGAACCTCAAAATTCCTGGGCGTCGGACTCCGAATCCCCGCCTTTTGGGGGCAGGTGCGTCGCCAGTGTTGCTTTGTCCGGTAGATATCCGCGGTCTGATTCAGGCTTTACATGAAAATGGGTGGCTCTCTGTTCCAGGCTACTAGATTTTTGGTCTGAGTCAGGTGTTGTTTCGGGGAGACACGACCGCAAGAATCCAAGTTCAACCCCATTGAACGGAGGGTTACCCAAAGCATTCAACGTCCAAGTGACGTCCCAAGAGACTACTTTAGTGTTTGGCCCTTTGGGGGTGTTTCAGGGAAGCTCACGTCTTACCCTTGGTTCCCGGAGATGATATCCAGAGAAGGTCCCTTCGTAGCTTCTAAGGAGGTACCAAGGGACCCCGTTTTTCCCCCCCCACAAGCCATCCTCAGGAGGCACCCGCAAGAGGCGACCCTTTGGGATTGATGGCTTTGCCACTTGGAAGCCACAGCGGTTTCAAACAACTGGCTCAACGCATCCCTTGGCACAAAAGTCGGGTCTCCGGTCTAGGGTTTTCTTTTCCAAATTGAACGCTATCCAAGAGGTTGTTCCCAAACTGACCCCTTCCGTTGGAGTGAGCTGAAATTCCAAAGTGCGGGACAGGGAATGTCGAGTGAAACCAAAGGAGCTTTTGGTTCACATGCGAGAACGCAGCTGTCAATCCACCATATGGTGCTACACTCGCTTCCTGACTTCCTGTACTTTACACTTTTTGGGTTTGGACCGTTTTCACGGCATACAAGCAAAAAGTCCGGTGTGTGTTTGTTTGGGCACGTTAGAGTCTACCTGGACCCTCAAACTACCCTTAAACATCTGAATTCACATGGTTTTCGAGCTATAACCCATTTGTATGGGTAGTTTGAGGGCCCAGGTAGAAGCCCAAGCATTCAAACATGATCTTAGCTGGTTTCTTTTTGTCGGGGGGGCTATTAAGGGGGGGGGAGGCTATTGGCATGGGGATAAACAGGTCGAGCATTTCCATTTCTCGCAGAATCTCAGCACCGGAACCAATGGAGGGTGCTTGCTGATGCTTACTAGGATGTATGGCCAAGTTACTAAGTTGTTGGTAGACGCTAGGTTTAACCCGCTTATAAGTCGCCCGTTCAGTGGGGTTAACCTTGTCAGGGGGTGACAAATCCCAATTGGCTAACCACAGTTATTAACTTGGCGAATTGAACGTCCAAGTAGGGCGCTACGAGGAACTGGACTGCTAACGTTTTGAGTCACATGGGTATGGGTCAAAATTAAATTTAGCAGGGTTCCATTTTGAATACCTTTTATTGACCCACAGCCACATGAGCTAGTGACGCGTTCCGTTCCCAGGCGCGGAAGGCTTTGGAGAAGGGCGAGGAGGACGCCGATGAGAAAGTGAGAGAAAGGGTCCCCCAGCTAGGTGCCCGTTCTCACCGTTTCTTTTTTGGTTGGGAGGGTTCCCCTACTAAAACAGACTACAGAAAAATATCGGGCACCCTTATTCTAACCACTCTACTGGTGGAGGACCTAGGAGAGAAAGTATGTGGGGTCTCCAGACCAAAACTAAATGGGTGTGTTTTGCTTTGAGGGTACCGGTCCCTGTTTTGGGTTGTGTTAAACGGAACCAACAAAGACAACCACCCATGAATGGGGTTTCCGGGGTTCCCCCAAAAAAGACACACCCAAGGAATTTATAACTCTTACTCAGAAAGTATCATTTGTGTTCCCCGGTAGGCCTGATGGCCTTACCTCCGTGCCGACACAAAGCTCTGATCCCGGAGGGTCAGTCCGATGCCGCCCGGAGGGTCCGTTTGAAACGGATCAGGTTGCTGATTGACACATGCCTTGGTGGTCAGTATGGTCCCTGTCACTCCCAGTGGATCCAGTTACCTGGTAAAGGTAGGTGAACCACCCTTTCAAAACCAAGAGCAAAACAACTGGTTGCCAAACTAAAAGGGCTTGCCTGGGATCGGCTGGGAGTAACTTTGCCATGTCATTTTGTGAGTCTCGGCACAGGGGATGAGGGTTTACGGTGTGTCCGCAAAGACCGTTCTGCCACGTCGTTGGTTTCTGCGAGCGACGGGATGGCATGGGCGGGTCCGACGTTGTGTCCTGATGGATGTGGACGTAGGTGTTCTTGTTTAGGTTAGTTAGCTTTCACGACGGGCTTCCCTGGCTTAGATTTGTGTTACTTCATGTACTGGGGCCATCTATTTTTCCAAAATGCCGCATATGGATGTGCAGGCAGCTTGTCTATTGGATGCATCATTACCACAGATGCTTTGCGATTTGTGCCGATACAGGAGTTGGGATGCATTGAGATGCGTTGGGATGAGTTGGGATGTGTTGGGATGTGTTGGGATGTGTTGGGATGTGTTGGGATGTGTTGGGATGAGACGATGTGTGAAGGATGTTGAAGCCACACGAACAAGCTTTTCAGGCCGGCTTTTTGTGCTTTGCTGCTTCGACATTGACAGCATCAGAAGTAACACGAATTTGTTGCCGCTAGTTAGGTTCAACTTAAACAGCTGGACAGCTGGTCTTCTCGATCGGTTTCTCCTGTTTTGGTCTCCATCCTTGCAGGACAGCGCGTACCTGTGCGGGCCTCGGGCCGCGTGGGTGTGGGTTGTTTCAGTCAGGTTCCCAGGCCCCAACAGGAGTTGGGTGGATCTCACCATTGGGCCAAGGCCCAGTGCTTCCAATTCAATTATAGCAAGAAACCAGCAAAACTCATGAGTCTGGGAACAACACGGTTAAACCCCGGTTACTTATAGCTGGCGTCACTTGGTGAGCCAACGTTTGCGATCTAGGATCAATCCGCCTGAGGCCAGGGCTTTTGGTTCCTTTCTATCAAGTTGGAGCCTCTAGGTGTTGGTGGCTGGCAGACCTTCGCTGTCAAAAGAAATCCAGCCACGTGTCCAGCCGGCCACGCAGCATGTGCCGTAAAAGGCAGTAGCCTGAGAAGGATTTCCGGACCTCTGCAATGCGGATCATGGCTGCGGATCGGGTTGCACCAGTCTCTTTTTGACAGAACTTGGGATGTCCAGAACTGGGGGGTGTCCTTGCCCACTTCGAGAACACCCCCTAGGTGTTCTTGGATCCGTTGAACCGCCACAGGTATCAGCCCAGACATCGTTTACTGGGCTATGATTCAGACATGCCAGCCTGGGTGCTTTTGAGCCCCCAACCTCCAACATGAATCCAAGCCTGGAAAGGGTCTAAAAAAGACAAGCCACCCAACCGAACTCGATCGATTTCTCATTTGAGGCTCTCTGACAAACTCCTGCTGCAGCTGGAGAGTGACGCAGCCCGGCCGTTTTTGTTGTCATATATCCGTAAGCCGTAAGCCTTAAGACATGTGGCCATGACTCAAAAGAAAGGGGTCATGACCACACTCCAGGTGTGCTCATAAACCCGGAATGGCATGCGGTGCCCTGTCTTTGAGCCCAAATTGCTGTGTCTCTTACGGGAATTTCTCCCCTCCAACAAACATACATGTGTTTGTTTTTCCCCGTTTGATTTCCCTTAACCAGAAAAAGGGCGGTATCCTCAAACATGAAAACAAGTTCAGATGGGCATGCCGAATCTGAAGACATGTCGACGTACCCTACCATACCCAACAATAATGGAGATCTCGCGCCTTGTGGGAGTAATTACTTTCCCTTACCTCCTCGCTAGACTGACTCCGCCGGCAGCAAGAGGACAGAACATGGGCATTTGTTGTGTTCTCTATTTTTGGGGGGGAGGGAGGCCGGGGCTGGACTTCCGTCCTGGTGTTTGCGAGTGTGGATTCATTTCCACCCACCTGTTGGCCCATGGGCAATGCACCTTGATCGCAGGTCTGGAGGCTTCGATTCAAAAAAAATCTGGATCAAATCGCCGGAGATGGCAATTTATTTGCAAAGCTTCCATTCAACAGTTCTGGATCAACTGGTTGCATTTCCAATGGGAAATGGAACCAGCCCCCTTTGCCTCCCTTTGGCGCGTCCAGAGGGAGCCCAAAGCATGCGGGGCTCTCAATCCAAGGCCAGTCGCATTGACGCCGCCTTTATGCGATTCGACTACAGCGGCACCGGCTTTCTGGACAGGTCGGAGGTTGCAGCCATGTCACTCAGCCGACAGCTGTGGGTCCGTAGGTGCCAGAAGGAAACGGCCAAGAGGATTCGTTTGATTTGTGTTTGGACCCGAACAAGCTCACCATGAAAATGGCATGTTGCCTCAAATATATCTTTGGCATGTTTTTTTGTGGTTAGCTTGAGGGTCCAGGTACATGTTTGGGATGTGTGAGGCTTTGCACACCTGCTTTTGGCCTGCTTGTGGTACAGTGTGAATGCCAGAACACTTGTAGACATTTGAAAATGATGCCCGCGGCCCGGCAAGAGGCACCGCTAGACTTGTCCCCGGCAGATTGTGAGCTTCACGGTTTCGCTTCAGACGGCCAGGTCTCAAAATGCAACCCTCCACACGGCCGATTCGATGTTCCTACTTGGTGGTTGGAAATACACACAAGTCCGGTTGATGCAACAAGTTGACGTTGACGTTGATTTCTCGCTTAAGGGACCGGTCTGAGAGGGCTTCAGGTAGGACCGGTCGTGCGAGTTCCGGATGCAAAAAGTTGCGGGTGACCCGGCCAAAGACGTCGGTGATATTCGCAGCTTAGGTTCCAGTACCTGGGCTTCCCGGACCCTTCCGAGGACCTGGCTTGGCAATCCGTGAAGAATCCATCCCCAGCCGCTTAGAAGTGAAACTGGAATTCCATTTCTTGTTCCATGTTCAGTTGTTTTTTTGTTTTTGCGGGGAATACTAGACAAATACTGGACAGGTGGAATATGTTTGTTGCATTTTCCTTTTCGTGGGGAGTACTAGATAATTGGACTGGGGGAACTTTCACCAACCCCCTCCCTCGTAAGGCAAGGGCCTGAACCCCGAAGTTTGGAAACACCCTGAGTGGCCAGTTTTACTCGTCAAGGGGGTAGGTTGGGGTGCAAAGTGCTCCTACCTTCAGCATTGATCGGCTTTGGTGAAGCGGTTTCCCGAGCGGATGCTTGGATTGCACCTGCGAGAGCCTGAGCTAAGTGCCCAGAATGTCAAATCCATCTCGGCCGAAAGACCAACCCAAAATCATGGCTTTCCTTTTGGTTGCCCTTTAAGCCCGCCCAAAAGGGTACCCTCAAAAACCCACACCCAAAGTCTTGAACAGTTGCCTTGGGCCGTTGGAAAAAGGTTTGCAGACAGTGGCAACCCAATTAGAGAGCAAAACAAGTGTATGGTCAAGAGAACTCGCAATGGACAGGCACGCCAGTTGTGTATATATATATATATAGTAAATAAACAGGTGGTTGGTTTGCTTTATGTTTCCCTCACTGTCCCAAACAGGAATTTCCTTTTGTGAGAAACATCAGTATCTAGCTATAAGGTATGCCCTTGATGGAAGGAACCATGAGCAAGACCCTCATACGTACACAAGGCGCCTGACACATGTCTTCGACAGCTGGGGCCCCATGAGTTGTCTTGTGCTAACGCCAACGGCTAACAAGAAATGCTTCCAAGAGGCAACGCTACTTGCAATCCAGTCTTGTTTGCATAGGGCTTGTTTTGTGGTTCCGGATTGATTGAAGGCCCCACGGCTATGGCCGCAGGTGTTTGGTCATTGATACATTGAGCGAAAGGGGCAGGGCAGGCACAACCCTTGCTTCATGGTTTGGATTGGTTTGGGAATTTGAGCCCCTTGGGAAACCACCCCCAACCTCCAAGCCACCAATCCAAGCCACCAAGAGCTGGCTATTCTGAAAAAGATGTGACAAGTGCTCTGTCCAGTACTTCTACCACCCTGCTTTTTTGGGGGCCCCAAAGGCGGCGAATCCCCGCTAGTGATTTTCACCCATGTCACGTTCCCGGTGCAAGCATTGGGGTACTGGAACCTGCCCAAGTATTTTGGAGCCCCCTCAAGGGTTTTCTGTATCCTTTTGGTACCTGTCAAACCTGTGCTAACAGAGAGTTTCCACCCAAACGACGGCCAATGTCGCAGCGTGTCCCCGGTTGGTCGGGTTAAACATCACCTTTAGCCAATGTTAAGTAAGTTTCCCTTTGGCGGGGTGATGTTTGAAGGGGACATATCATGGAGCTGTGTTTCGGATTCGCAGGATGACGAGGTGAAGACGTTGATAAAGAAGTTGGACAGCAATGGCACGGGGAACGTGGAGAAGGAGAACCATGGCGACGGATGTCCGAATGCTTGGCACGTTCGTGGCAGGCTCCTCTTGCAATGTGTGTGTGTGTGTGTGGGGTGCGTCACAATTGGCGGGGGTGGCCACAAAAGAGGTCCTTAACGCACACACACACACAGACATACTGTAAACAGACACGCACATGGGCGTGACTCCCCTCAACGGCACAAGGAGCTGCGTGAAACATGGCTGCCGTTCGTTGCAGCCAGTTTGCCAATGGGCCAGAAGAATCGTGTTTTACATCAAGAGTTTCTGCGCAAATGGTTCGGCCAGAGACTTCTAGGATACATGGGATTCTCAAAACTTGGTTGGTTGGAAAGGGTTGGTTTCCCGCTGTAGCAGGGAACCTCCCCTTCAAATAAATCAGTTTGTCATTGCTTTCCAGATCACAGAAGTGGGCAATTCCCTTAATCCACTGGCGACTCTTTCTACATCCGGATCACATTGTGGGGAGCTGAACCCCCAGCCAAACATTGACCATCTACTATATCTGCTTAAATGTGGCTTAGTGATCCAAGAGATACTTCCCGGCAGATTGACCTGAAACTCGGCCAGGGGGTACCCCAAAAAATCCGTCCAACTCTGCGCGGTGATATTTGTTGGGTTCGTGTACTCTCCAACCGCCAGGATCCATGTGGCTTCGATTTGACTCAGACCCCAACAAACGGCCCCCTCAATTCCAATAGTTTCTATTCGGAACATCACATTGGCCACCGTTGGTGATAAATGAGGTCATAAAGCTCCTAAATTGGGTCAGGCTTCACAGCCCTATGTATCATCAAATATGGAGTCGGATGGGGCAAGAAACCACACGGGGCGTCCAACTATTGTTGCCCGCGTCCGTTCAGGAGGAGTTCAAACACTTCGTAGAGGAGTTTGGAGGCTCCTCGACGGAACGACTCCGCTCGCATCGCGTGGAGAACGGCAATGGACATTACACTATTAACTACATACCAACAAATGCCTACATATAAATATGTATTCGGAATCATGAATGCGTGATGTATTCATGCAGGTGTGTGTGTGTGTGCATGTGTGTCCGTAGCAATGTATGTGTATGAACATGCTGTGTGGCATAATGCATAGTTGCACATGTTTTGAAGTAGGGTTCATAGAGAAAGTAATTTCAAATTGGTATCTACGCACGCACACGCGCACGAAATGCATCTAGTTTACACAGATGTTTGTTTGATTTCGGGATTCATTTTAAGGAGCCAAGGGTTCTTTTGTCCATGCTCTTGGGGGGTGCGGTGCGGTTCACCATTGCGAAGGAGCAAGGGCAAGCCTAGGACTTTACTGACCAGGGTTCTGTGGTTGGATTTGTGGGTTCACCTGCAAGATTGTTTGGGAAGCAACAAATACAGGAAGTGATTTCTAAAGTTCGGTGAGGAGTTGCCAGGAGCTTGCTTCCTACGTCCACCGACGGTCAACTACGTCGGTGTGTTTCTTCAAACACATCCTGCGGAGGGGAAAGCACTCTCAATCTTAAACGTCCAAATCAGGATCATACTGCATTGTCCAATGGATCTGGTGTGGTTATCTATTTTGTTGTAAAGGACAAGTGCAGACAAGAAATGATTCGAAACACTGGTATCAGACCTGATGGACATATTTGTTAAGCAGTGGAAAGGGTAACCAACACGCGCGCGCGTGTGTATGTGTGTGTGTGTGTATGTGTGTGTGTGTGTTTTTTTTTTTTTTTTAACGGAAGCACTCGCACATGGTTTGCGTTTTGCGGCAAAAGCCGTGATGAAGTAGGAGGAGCAACTGTTAACAAACTTTATATGGATGTGTTTTTGTTGGATCTGGACCCCCAAAAAATGGTTTGCATTCCCTTTAAAGTCATAGAAAAAGGGTATCTCCAAAAAATACAGACCCATATAGTGAACAATCAACAAAGAGAGCAAGTAGGTTGAGGAACACTCAACAGCTCCCCTGCAAAATTGCCTTGGAACTCAAAGACGGGGTTCCCAATCAGAGATTCATCCAAAAATGGTGATTGGTTGGCTTTCATGTGGATCTGCAGGGGAGAAAGTACAGTAAGGGCCCAGATAATTAGAATGGGCTTGCGGAGTACTGTGTGTGTTGTTTGCGTGGGACCGCTTGGGTGCACTCAGCCATTTCCAACCACCGGACGAGCGAGGGGTTCGGGGCTGGGACCCTGCACAAGCCTGTCATGGCAAGGCCCTGCAATGAATCCTATTCTAGGCCCCCCAGTAGTGCCCTTTTACCCTATTTTGGGGGAGGGTTCCCCTACTGAAATAGACTACAGAAACAAGGGTACCCTTGTTCATATTCTAACCTCTCTACTGGAGGACCTAGTATTGGCACGCTCCTCCCAACCTCGGCTACTCTAAAACAAAGTCTCGCGTTTCGCTGCGGCAGGCTTAGACGCGCTTTTTGCGCGGCGCAGGGAGCGCGCTCTCCGGGCACCTTGGCCAGTCGGAGAGCAATTCCATATCTGTTTGGATAACGGGGGTGACTGAAGCAAAGAGGATCACAAGATCCTACTGGGGATGGCGAAATCCTGCATCAGTTGGCACGTGGTTTGTCCAATTATTCATAGGATTTCATCCAGCCCAGCTGGTGCGGGAATTTGCCCATCCACAGTATTGTGTAGCATCAGCTCGCTTGCAGAAGTTCCGGCGTCATTTGGGGAAACAAAAAGTGGTTTTGACCATGGCTCTTATCGTGAATAGTTGCCTTACCAACTTGGGCATGTGGTCAATTGCAGGTAGATATGGGTATGAGTCAAATTAAACCACCAGGGGGCCACAGCTTTTCCTCCATGTTTCCATCTACCAGGGTTCCATTTTGGGTACCTATTTTTGACCCACAGCCATATAGCCTATAATCAGGGTCCAGGAATTGACCCTGCTAAGATCAAGATACGGGAGAACCTGGCTGACACCTGTCGCAAAGGGACTAGGTCCGAGCCAGGGATCAAGACACGTGACTTGTTTGGGCCAAGAAAGGGAACAGAATCCGTGCCGGACTGTCATACAGACATGTCGGCAGCAGCACATGCAAGGAGACATGTAAAAACAAACCTGCGTGTGCATCTACGAATCACATGAGTGAGCTGTATGCCCAACTCACTAGATTCAGCAGGTGGACAGAACGCGTGGAGTTTCTTTCTGGCGGTGAAGTCACACACCACACTCTTTTAGACAGGCTATCTGGCTCTTTGTGCCTTTTTGATTTTGTTGGGTACACCCGGCAGCGTGCGGAGAAAATGCATTGGCATTGGTGTGCAGTGTGCAAACCAAGCGGGGATGACTCAGGGCCAGGTTCTGACCAGGGCGGTGATTACAATGATGCCTTTTTGTGCAGGCTTTAGAGAAGCTGGATGATACTCGATCTTCATTTGCATCGCGATGTGAGGTCAGTGCTGAATTGTTTGATTGTTGTCTTCAATCATCAGACTTGTAAACCACCTGAAAATAAGGCAATCCTGAACGAACGCAATCCATCATCCAACAGCGTCTTTCCCTTTTGTCCCACGTGCTGCTATTTTGGGCATGAACTATACAGAGAATCCATTTCCCCATGGTCACTAGGTCACTAGGCATCAAGGAAGGGGAGGAGCCCATGAGCCCATTCTGGTCATTGCCATGAGATCACGATGCTTGTGATTGATTTTTGTCGGCATCATGCAGGCAAGGTGAGGTATATCTATTTCGCTTGCCCAAAGCAAGGCGACCTCTTCACCGCTTCTGCTTTTCCACGAAGACTAGTTTTTGCTGCTTGACAGCCTTTGCTTGGGGACACAAACCTTCTGAACGAGAAAACCTGGGCTTACCAAATCCATTTGTTGCCGAGCAGGCAAACTTCGACCGAAGCATTTTTACCAGTAAACTGAGCCCGCAGGAAGCCAATCCCTTCTTGGGAGCTCCTCTTTTGGAGGCCGTTGCTTGCTTGGCCATTTGGGTTTGACACGGTCTACATGGGTGTCTCTGTTTTTAGTGGACCCCTCCCAACTGGCCTCTGTCTTCCTTTGGTTTCCCTTAATATTAAAAAATCAACAACAAACAAAGGGGGACCAGCTCCAAACAAGCCACGCCCAAATCCGCAGAAAGAACAAACCAGTCGGTGAAAAATTCAACCAGCGCAGGGGGACCAGCTCCAAACCAGTCGCCAGCTGTGCCACCGGTGCCAGCGAAGGACAGAACCAGCTCGGCCTCGGCGTCGTCCACCTCCTTGAGCACTTTAAGCCGGGAGGAGATCCAGGCACCGGCCCAAAACAAACAACAAAAGGGAGCTGCAGGTTCAGTTGGAAGCACAGGTGTCTTTTTTGGTTGTTAGAAACATAGATGGCGATTCCTGGTTTACCTGGTGGTTTAATCATCTACCAGGGCACGTCTCTTCCACCGGGGGCCATCGGGGGGGGGGGGGTGACGTCTCCCGAAGCAAAAAGAGAAGCCCCAAACAAACACTCGCTGCTGGGATGGGTTGGAAAGGTTTCCTTCCGGGGTGTTGGGAATGAATTGGAGGGGGAAACCTTTCGATGGGACCCCGTTTCACCACCCTATTTCGCCAATCCCAAGCACAAATCAATGGGAAGCTGAAGTCTCCTTCTGACCCTTAAAAAATGGTTGGTCATTTCCCAAAGTTAAGGGGTCATGGACCCATTTTTTAAGGGTCAGAAGGAGACTCCAGGAAGCTGAAAGTGGCTTGGGGTGCCTTCACGGGTGGGGATGTGCTCGCTGGCTCGCTGGCTTTGCCTCCCAGACCTTCCAAATGGGGTTGGTGTTAGTATCAAAACGGAGACCGAGGTTTCTGCCCCGTTTGATTGTTGGACGAGTTTTCTTTCGTCCCTTATTTTTTTTTCTCACACACACACAGGCCCAGCGGATCCTAATGAGTGTTCTTTCGTCCCTTAAATCTTTAGCACACAGCCAGAAGCGAATCTCAGGTCCACATGCTGGCTGCTGGCATCGAACCGGAAGCCCAGGCATACTGGGCGCGGGCCTTAGCTCTCAGCTCCCTCGTCTCCTCGTCACCTCGCTCGCCCCGGATGTGTCTCACTTGAGTTCCTGAACTTGAGACTTTTCGGGCTTGGACCATTTTAGTTCCCCAGAATTAGCTCCCCTTTTTCCTTTATTGCTTTTTTGGGGTCCCCTTAGTTGTCCACTAACCAGCCAAATATATATATATATATATATATATATATTTGCTGGGGTCCTAATTCCAGCCTAGTTAGTGGTAAGCTCATTGTTAAATGGATAATAAAACCCGGCTAAACCAGAGGAACCCATCTATTTCGAACCAAACTCAACCATCAAAAGGACACCTATGTCCAACAGGCTTTGCCTCGGAACGCACCTCACTTCCTGAGTGGATTGGACCAGGGCCATGTTGTTTTTTCTCCAACAGGTCACCTTTGCTTGGGGAAGGTCAACACTCTGCTTATGCCTCCATGTGCTGGGACTGGCTCAAAACGGTAAACTAATGCCCTTCCAATGCCATTCATCGGCATTGAACCTGGTCCAACCTTCAGCCAGCTCCTATGAGGGCTGGATCGCACAAGGCCCAGCGAATTCTCTGCAAACACCAAAAGGTTCGAGTAAACAGGGCCCAATACCACATAGGGGCTGGCTTTGACAATGGTGAAACACAGGACCGGGTCAGTAGCCAATTGTGCGAACTATAGGTCACACTGTCCGTGGCTCATATGGGTGTGTCTATTTGGACGATACCCGTTTTTGTGGGTTTAAGAGAACACCAAAAGGACAACCACCACTTTGGGGGGGGCGGGGTCCAAATCCTACAAAGGACGAGCCACCCCAATATGGCCTATAAATTATCTAATAGTTCCCGCGACGAGAGACATATCGCGCGAGCGCAAACCGAGGAGTTGGTTCTCCCACAGTCGGAGATTGAGAACGTTTACCTGCTCACAGGCACCAGCTGGGCCAAGTGGATCCGGCCGAGCCCTTATAGTCGGTAACGCTTCGCTTCCTTTTGGTTTGGAAAGAATGGCATTGCCTGCAAAGCCAGGTAAATGGATCCACTGGATAGGCCATGGTTACCTACTATACACGAGAATGGATCCACCGGGTAGGCCATCTTTAGTCAACATGTCAAGCTATGCCCTCACGTTTCATATCGGAATGAGTTCAATTGGAGCGAGAGTGAGAGGTCCTGATGTCAATCATTTGATTAAACGATTTCAGCGGGTTCAATCAGACCACAGAAGTGAGACGTATGGTGTAACATGACTGAAAGGCGAGGCCTATATGGCTGTGGTTGTCAAAAAATAGGTATGAATGGAGCCCTGGCAAATGGAAAGGACTAAAACCTGCGGTCCCCTGGTGGATTAATTTTGACCCAACCCATATAAGCCTTTATTGCCATGTTGGTAGAACCCAGATGGGTGAAACATGAAGGTGGCGACTCATGGCCTTGAACGCTTCAGCCGACTGCGCAGATTGCCAGAAGCAAGCTGTGTCGAACATCCGCCGCATTGCGAAGGCGGGAGTTCGATTCCGATTGTTGTCTCCTTCCGGCGGTGCTCCTGAACCCTCAAATTACTCATCAACAAGGGACATCACCCCATAATGTTGGGGCAATCACCCACTTTTATGGGTAGTTAAAGGGGCCCAAAGGGACATCACCCAAAAGATTTGGGGCAATCACCCATTGTTATGGGTAGTTAATGGGGTTCAACAGGACATCACCCCATAATTGTGGGGTAATCACCCATTTTTATGGGTAGTTTGAGGGTGCAAGTGGTCCTACAAGCGGCTGCAACGAATATGCACATTCCCGTGGTCTTCTTGCGTGATTTTGGTGTGCTTCACGTAAAGACACTAAGAGCACTGCCGACGGACGTGCCAGCTTGAAATGAGCTCTGCTTTCCTTGTTCAGGGTATGACCTTCCTTACATTTTGGCAAGGGGGGGGTCACCATCTGACAACGCACCTGGGTGTGTGTGTGTGTGTGTGTGTGTGTGTGTGTGTGTGTGTGTGTGCGTGTGCGTGTGCGTGTGCGTGTGCGTGTGCGTGTGCGTGTGCGTGTGCGTGTGCGTGTGCGTGTGCGTGTGCGTGTGCGTGTGCGTGTGCGTGTGCGTGTGCGTGTGCGTGTGCGTGTGCGTGTGCGTGTGCGTGTGCGTGTGCGTGTGCGTGTGCGTGTGCGTGTGCGTGTGCGTGTGCGTGTGCGTGTGCGTGTGCGTGTGCGTGTGCGTGTGTGTGTGTGTGTGTGTGTGTGTGTGTGTGTGTGTGTGTGTGTGTGTGTGTGTGTGTGTGTGTGTGTGTGTGTGTGTGTGTGTGTGTGTGTGTGTGTGTGTGTGTGTGTGTGTGTGTGTGTGTGTGTGTGTGTGTGTGTGTGTGTGTGTGTGTGTGTGTGTAGGGAAAATCCCTCCGCCTAAATGGCTTCACGGTTAAAACCTGTTGGTTTCCCTTGAAGCTACCACCTTAAGCAGGGCTCCTGACAAGATACATGTTGCAACCAGTTGAAGCATGTGGCTTTTTCCAGCAACATACAGGGACACCGCCATTTACAAGTTGCAAGGTTCACCTGGAGTCTCCTTCTGACCCTTCAAAAATGGTGGGTCCTTTCCCAAAATTCAGGGGTGGGCCCATTTTTCCAGGGTCAGAAGGAGACTCTGGGCAGGTGTTTTTGGGTACGGGTCCCGGGTGACGGGGCACCGAGCAGCTGACCAAACGTCGAGCGCTGGAGGTGAACCACCAGCAGCACCTGCCGGCGCTGCAGCGCCGAGTGGCCGCCCTGGGCTTCAAGGACTGCGCGCCGGAAATCGGCGAAGTGCTCGGTGAATTGGGGGGGTGGGGGGGTGGGGGGTGGGGGGTAGGAGGTGGGGGGTGTGGGGGGTAGGAGGTGGGGGGTAGGAGGTGGGGGGTAGGAGGTGGGGGGTAGGAGGTGGGGGGTAGGAGGTGGGGGGTAGGAGGTGGGGGGGGTGGGGGTTTGGGGAGACGGGGGGAGTGAGTTGGGGGGGTGGGGTGGGGTGGGGGGTGGGGGGGTGGGGGGTCCAAATAAGAAGCAACCCACTGGAAAACGGGGTCCCACTGTAGGTCTTGGACGGGACCAAGGCAGTCTCATCAGTTGATGTTACAGAAGTATTTACGTCATATTCATGTAATATTTCCCCATATTTTCACCAACCAACCTGTTCTATTCATGGGGTGGTTTGGGCCCCTCCAAAAGTGGTCTGATTCCAACCACATTTCACACAGGGAAAGGCGCCACCCCAGTCATAAACTGGTTAACATTGCAAAAGCCGAGTTCGGTTGGCCAAGGGCCGGATTTGGGGGGTTTGATCAACAGATCCGGTAAACATGGGATGACCATGGGGTGGAAAACCAATAGGATTTGATGTTTTCCACATGGGAGAAGTTGATGGTCATTTGGGGGCCAGAGATACTGATCAACTCCCATTTGCTTACCTGAACTCTCCATTTGTTTTTTACAATACCCCATGTTAGACGGGTAGTTTGAGGGTCCTTTTTTTCTCGAGGGGGGGGGGGGGGTGAAAAACCTTCGGTTGATTGGGGTTACTGGGGTAAAGTGGATGTCCCTCTTTGGGAAGACCTAGTGGCAAGCAAACAGTTTCGGAATTAATCCCCCACTCCATTCAGCTGGTACCCATTTGCTTCTCTCTTCTGGGAGCAGCTTCTGCTTTCCTTCTGTACACTAGCAGTGCCCACTTCGCTTGGACTCTTTGAGCCAATTTTCTCAGGACGTGATCGTTGAATCCAATCGATGTTCAATCATCTTGGTGGCTCCCAGCCAGCCCCTTAGCCTTTTAGCTTTTCAGTGTTTAGTGGTAGTTTCCATTTAACTAACTAAAAGTTAAACTTTTAGCGGGGGATCTGAGGGCAGCCCAGTCATGTTTCAAGTGTTTGGCCCAGCTGTTTCACATGGCCTCGGAGCTCTTGCCAACCAGTTGGACTTGAGGCGGGGGGTTTAAGGTGGTACTTGGATGTTCGCTTCGCCAAGTTGGTGTCTGTGGTGATCGCCCAGTGGGGTGCAACCCCCTAGATTCTCACAAGGTTAGCCCCAGTGAACCGGGGGACTTGTAAGTGGGTTATAACCAAACGGTTACCAACAACATATGACCTTGGCGAATCGAACATCCAAGCACCAAGGGTAGCACTCGAAGGACATGGACCTGTGGACAACGCTTTCCTGGGTTCGTGACTTCGCGCAACTTGGCAATTCCGCGGCTGGCTCAGGGTTTCCTCCATTCCCCTTTGTGAAACCTCCAAAAAGTGGCAGTTTCAATGGAAACCACATTGCAACTTTTGAAGGGGTCACTGATTATTTCTGGAAACCCTGTTGCTGCACAGGCGAACTCCAGACTGGGTTGACATGGCGAAGCGACGGAAGCACCGGCAACGTAAATGCGCTCAGGCCTTTGATCGTCCACATCCACTTTGACAAGATGTGCAAGTTCCTCTTAGAGGACATCGCCTGGGGTCATTGTTGTGGCTGATTCTGGTGATTGTCACAGTCAGAAACTGGGGTGGTTTCCCTTTAACCTGCCATTTGGGCGGGTGATTTTGATACTGGTGCAATAATGGGGCAGATTGCCGAAGCTGTTCCTTTATTGTGGCTTCTTGTAGAACAGGTTTCGCAGGGCAACAAAACATGGGTATCCTGTGATGGTGTAGGGCTTGGGGCAGTCCTTTCCAATCGATGCTGAAGCACGCACTTCAGTTCGCCCGCAGTCAAATGCACACACCAGAACTGCTGTTGCTAGACTGACATTGATTCCGCTGAGACGATAGGTATTCCCATAGGCTTGTCTGCAGGACACGCACTACCGATCACAGTTGCTTGGCTGAGATTGATTTGCGCCAGTTTGTGCCACACTTCATTGGTGTGTTTGCCTTTGCTTGACCCCACTTCACTTGTTTGCTTTTGCTAGCTGAAAGCTACCTCCATCCTCCAATGGGCGATTCTTCGAAGGGGCGGAGGCCAACTTGTGCGCGTGCAGGATGTCAAGACCACGACCCCTTGCATTTGTTCAACACGAATTGGTGTGTTCTCCTCCCTGGTTTGAAAGGGAATCTATCACTGCTGTTGTTTTTTGGCTTGCAGGGGGCAAACAAGCAAATCGAGTGTCCCCTTGAAATGGTGGTTCAGAAATCTTTACCCTGAGTCAAGTTGTGTGACTATCTTACATCTTTGTCCTTGGCTGAAGTGATGAGCAAAGAACAGAGTTGTACCGGTTGCCGCTGGAAGGGAAACCAGACAGAAGGCACACCCGAGTTTTGGTTTGAGGTGACCTATTTTAACACGTTACTCTCCGGGACATGCACAAGCATAATCATACGTGCAAGTATGAAGCCATTTCAGCTGCATTCACCCCCGCCTCTCTCTCTCGCTCTCAGGTTTGAGACCGGGAGCAGTTGCGGCCTGAACAACCGCGAGGTGAGGCAGAGATGGGAGCGAGATCTCTTCCAAGGCTGGGAGCTCGGCGCCATGGGGGGAGGTCTGGTGGAGGGGAGGGTCGGGTGGGTGGGTGTTGGTATGTGTGCCGAGTTGGTAGACCTGTTTAGGTTGGGGTATCTGTCAAGCGCGTGGTGCAAAGACGAGTCGAAGCTCAAGGGTTTCAAGCCAAGGTGGTCTTCAACGATGATGGTATAGCCGGATCTTTTGGGGGGGGTGGGGGGGGGGTGGTGGGCTGGGGGGGGTGGGGGGAGGGTGGGGGGTGGTTTAATTTTACTGGTGCAGTAGGCAGGGAATGAGAGGTATGGAATGTCCCCTTTGAACCAGCCAACTGGTGGCTTCCTTTTGGGGACAGGGTTCATTGCCAGATTCCCTGCTTGTCGCACCAGCTTGCCATAGCTGTGCTTTTGATCACTTTGCAAAGGGAATAGAGTTCCATTTGCATCATGTCCAAAAGTCTTAAGGTGTTGGATATATATATATATACCACTTGCATATGGAATTTGCCCTCTTTGAAGCCGATTGTCAAAAGTATATGTCAGGTTTGGGTTTTTTTACCCATGTGCAAAAGTCAAGGTTTGGGTTTTGTACCAATTCAATTGCATACATAAACTGCCTTCCAAGCCAGACATCCCCATGCCTTGAAAGTCTTCACAGGAGCCTACGATGGCTGCAAAGACTTCGAGCGCCCGAAGTACGGGGTGCTCAACGTCCACAACGACTACCGGGGCGTGGTCCGTGCGAAGCAGTACGGCCTTTGGGGCTGCAGTCAGCTTCCCCATTTAGTCTCTAAACCTTCACCGGAGTTTGGTCCGCAAACCGTCCGCTGAAGTTCCCCCCCCCACACCTTTCTTACGAAATCCCTCAGGCTCAGCGGGGTAGGTGCTGGGCAGTTGGGAGCCCTAGGGTTCCTCCGGGTTTCTTCGATTTTTTCTTGGGACGCCTTGGGGAGTCTTAGGCTGGGTTTCTTCGGGTTCCTTAGGGAGTTCTCGGGAATTCTTCCGTTGCGCCACCCCTGAGGGCAATCGGCGAAACCGAGGCGATTGCTACATGGTCCTGCGGGACGCCCGGCTGCGGACCACCTTCTCGCCCGAGGAGCACTCGAGCACTGGCTGGCTTGGGTACAAAGCATTTCCGAGCGGGTTGCTTCGTTGGCTGGCTGGCTGGCTGGTTGTTTGGTTTGTTGCTTGGCTGGTTGATTGGTTGGTTGGTTGGTTGCTTGCTTGGTTGCTTGGTTGTTTGGTTGCTTGGTTACTTGCTCGGTTGCTTGGTTGCTTGGTTGCTTGGTTGGTCGCTTGGTTGCTTGGTTGGTTGCTTGGCTGGTTGCTTGGTTGGTTGCGAAAGTACACCATGCATTCCCACTTGGATGTAATTCATACTGATTACCATTGCATGGCTCAAGATGACAAAGGTGCATTTGCTGCCTTGGTTGATTAGCAGAGATTAGTCTCTGATTTTCCCATGGTAGCGGAGCTCGAAGATTCAGGAGACCTTAGGGAAACCTGATTCTGAGAGCTGCCATGGCACTCGGACAAGATGAGGATTTTGCAGGAAAGCTAAGACTTCCCATGCCAGGGAAATTCACTGGCAAGCCAGAGGACTGGGAAGATTGGAGCTGGGATTTCAGGACATATTTGAGCATGTTCCTGCCAGATTCAACAACGATTATGGACCGCATTGAGGCCAACGCAGACACACCCATTGAGGACGCGCATTTGAATGTAGCGGGTAACCAGGATGCCACAGACAGAAGGATTCAGAATTCCCGAAGGCTGCATTATTTGTTAGCAAATTTGTGCAGTGATTCAGCAAGGCTGGTAGTCAGGCAGAACATTGGCTGCAATGGTTATGAAACCTGGAGGAGATTGTATTCCAAATTTGCATTGCCGGACGCAACACGGCACATGAGTTTACTTAGCCAGATTTTGGAATTCAAGTTTCACTCCAATACATTTGAACAAGATTTCAACACCTGGGAGACCATTAAGGCCAGATATGAATCTCAAACCGGCCAAGCCATTCCTGATAGCATTCTGGTGGCTACCCTCTTGAACAAGACAACAGGCCCATTGCAACAGCATTTGAGGCTCAATGCTTCGGCATTGTTGACCTATGAACAAACACGAAACGTGATTGTGCAGTACCACCATTCCAGGCACATTCTTAGGAACATGCCGGGGAATGACAACCAAGGACCAGCACCCATGGACATTGGGGCGCTGAAAGGATTCAAAGGAAAAGGCAAAGGCAAAGGATTCAAAGGATTCAAAGGAGCCAAAGGACCACATTGGTCATACAACAAAGGAGCATTCAGCAAAGGAAAAGGAAAAGGAAAGGATTTCAAAGGCAAAGGCAAAGGAAAGGACCCAAAAGGAAAAGGAAAGGATTCCAAAGGAAAAGGAAAAGGGTCGATTGCAACCTGCTGGATTTGCGGCTCTCGCGGCCACATTTCCAGAACATGTCCGCAGAGAGCTGTGAGCGGAGTGATTGAGGAAGATTGGAATGAAGAATGGTCCGAAGAGCCCTGGCCTGATTCGTCGTGGCCTGATGGCTCATGGGACATTGCTGGATTGAGTTGGGATGAAGGAGAAGATTGGTCCTGGGATTCGTCTTGGGGATCATGGGATTCTGTGAACTCTTGGGACCACCCTTGGGATTGGTTTCAGGACAGTCAGATTCCAGAGCCTCCTGCTGGATGCGATTCTGCCGCGTTTTCATCGGCAGGACCACCCCCAGCAGGAGATTCACAGCAAGGAACCATTGGAGCAGTGACACAGGTGCCGCCGGGATTGAGTCCAAACATTGGCTCAACTCCCATTCGGCCAAAGGCCAAGCCAAAGGCCTCATCATTTTTGATTGCTGCACTTGTCATGAATTCGGTCACCTCAGGATCATCCTTTCAGATTCCTGCCACTCGTGGCAGTCCGTCTGAGGGTGAAGGTGAAAGTTGGATGACATTTGGAGAGCATGAAAGATTGTTTAAGTCGATGTATTGCTTGGACACTGGATTGGATAGCATGCCATGTTTGAGTGCCGGATTGATTGCCCCTGTTCCCGGACAAGACTTGTTAGATTGGTATGATGAACCAACCCCAGTGAAGGATTCTTTTCATTTCGTGACCACCTTGAAGGACTGCGGCTTGGATCACTTGAATTCGAAGTTTGTTGACACATTCTTGCATGAACAGTTGATTTCAGCAGTCGAGGATTCCACCCCGTGGATTCTATTTGATTCAGGAGCATCTGCCCATTGCTGTCCGCCAGACTTTGGTGAACAATGGCCATTGCTTCCATTAAATGGAAATGGCCCACCATTGAAGAGTGTCACAGGACAGCCATTGAACATGTATGGGAGAAGATTGGTTGGCTTGAACTTGGATGGACAAGATTGCTTCATGAATTTTTATGTTTGTGACGTGCCTTATCCGATTGTGTCGGTTGCACGATTGCTGCTGCAGGGATTCCGCGTAGCATTGGATGGACCAGACTCATTGGGATTGTTTATGCCCAATGGTAAGGTAGTGAGTATTCACCGAAAAGGCTCACTGCTTTTCCTAGGTCCGAACATTCTTCCATTTGACAAACCCCGATTTGAAGAAGTGTGTCAAGAGTTTCATTCCAAGTTTGGTTCAGATTCTTCAGGGACCATAGCACCCACATTTAAGCCCACCATTTACCACAACGACAGTTGGGAACTTGATCCGCAACGCGCTGTGCTGATTCGACATCACAAGCGCGCAAGGCGTGCGTTATTCACGCCAGGTGGCACCAAGGACAGGCCCATTCCTGTGGAAGATGTGGCGTCCAGACGCACAACTTACGTCCGATTCGAAGATGGACGTGAGGAGACCATCGCCGACAATTGGCGGACGATAGATTCTCCGCAACGGGCGTTGGATCAGTACTGGATGGGAAGGACAGAATTCCCGTTGCAATCCTTGCCGACGGCAAGACGATTGACGGGGAAGCAATCCACAATTGCAAGACCTCCCATTCAGGAAGCGTCAGTGCCAGCAAAGAAACCTCATTTGAAAGCGCAACCGTCTGCTGACATTGGCCAGGATGATTATTCCCGGTCAGTGAAGGAGCTGACGACGGGAGAATTGGAAGAAGCAAAGGAAATTGTGGAACGGCGATTGTGCATGAGTGACCCGGAGACAGGAGGACCATTCGGACATGATGAATGGTACCTCACACCCAAGTTTGACATTAGGATACACCATGAGTGGAGGAATTGTCTGTATGTGCCAGATGAGACCGATTCGGCCGCTCCCTCCAAGGAATTGCTGGGGAACGAGAGGCACACATTGGCTGTGTTCCTCAACGGGAGACTCCAGTGGATTCACGACCACTGGGCTGACCCAGAGGCTGCTGCTACGGAATTTCCTGAGCCATTCAAAGGCGCGACGATTTTTCGTCGGCAGTCTCAGCAATTCTTGGAAGAGAGCAACCCGGACATTCCGGAAATGTCGGCTCAACGGCCAAAGGGATTGTACGTTCCCAAACAGCCGACGGACGATGAGATTCGTGAACATGAGTTGACTCATCTGCCATTCAGATCATGGTGTGAGATTTGCGTCAGGTCGAAGAGCAAGCAAAACCAGAGTCGTGCCATTTCGGTGCGGCAACCTGTGATTCAGGTGGATTACGCCTTTATGGGTGATTCACAAAGTGACACACAGGTGACATTGCTCACGGCCACTGATGTACTGAGTGGAATGGGATTGGCGTGCGTTGTTCCGTCCAAAGGACGCATTGTGTATGCGCAAGCAGAGTTGAGGAAATTCGTGTTGGAGATTGGAAGGACATTTGGGATTGTTCAGTGCGACCCTGAAGCTTCATTAAAAGCCTTGGTCGAGGCAGTCACGGGTGACATTGGTGGATTGTCATACCGTGAAGCTCCCACTGGCTGGAAGCAAGCTCAGGGATCCATTTCCAACATGCAAGCAACATTGTATGCTCAGATTCGTGCTTTGAAGCTTGACATTCAACATAGGTATGGCATGTCGGTTAGCGTGCATTCGCCATTGTTTCCTTGGATTGTTAAGCACTCCATGTGGCTTCTAAACAGGTTTCTTCATCGGTCTGATGGATTCACTCCATTTGAACGACGATGGGGAAAGAAGTATGGAGGTGCATTGTGTCGAATTGCCGAGTCTGTGCAGTTCCGATTGCCTGCGCCTAAGTCTGAGCCATCGTGGCATTCAGGCATTTGGCTTGGACGTGACACCACATCCGACCAGCATTTTGTGGCGGATTCCAATGCTGTGTACAAGGTGCGAGGCATTCGGAGACTTCAGCCGGGATCACAAGTCAAGCGAGATTTGATGCAAGGGTTGCGTGCATTGCCATGGGATCCAAAAGGATCCAAGGTCGAAACGGATTCGTTCATCCTTCCGGGTGATTCTGCTGTGCTCCAGAAAGGTGAACCCCAGCCACCTTTGGGGATTCCACCAACTGACGAGCAAACAGAGGAGCCAGATCACGATGGAACTGGTGAGGATTCGTCAGCCCAGTTGTCCCAAGGATTGACGCGAGGTCATGAGGACATTGACAGGGAACCTGGAGAGCATTCGGAGTCTCCAACCAATAGGCGCAGATTGGCAGAGGCAAGAGGCATTAAGAGAACCAGTGAGCAGGCAGAGATTCCTGAAGCGGATTCTACTGTAAGCTACATTTCTGCCATTCTGCCATGCGAGTTTGGTTGCACATTGGTTGAAGATTGTAGGATTGCCACAGTCACCACGCGTGAGTCATTGGACTTGCCCATTCATGTAAACCAGGATGAAGAAGAATTAGGGAACATGAAGAAATTTGCCAATCCGATTCTGTGGGGAGAGTCTGAATTCCCCAGAGATTTGGAAGAGGCAGGAATGAACAAGGAAATGAATTCCATGAAGGACTTTGATTCGTATGTAGAAGAGAAAACCGAGGATTTGACGCAGGAAGAAGTTGATTCAGCAATTTCAATGAAGTGGGTTAAGTCTTGGAAAGGAGCAGAAGTGAAGTGTAGATTGGTAGCCCGTGGCTTTGACCAATACATTGAAGATAAGGATGACACATTCGCTTCTACCCCAAGCTTGTCCACATTGAAG